CCCCAAAACCCCAAAACCCCAAAACCCCAAAACCCCAGAATATCTCTCCAAGTTGAAAAGGAACATTTTAGAATATCCATTGAAGATCCTATCTACTCTTCATTGCTCTGTTTGTCACTCACAAGAGCTCCGATAGATGCTAGGAAACCATCATGGGACATATACATTCATTTTATCTCTTTTCGAGCAAAGAAGTCAAATGCCATTGTGAGTCTATCCATTGTGTATTCATGTTGTTTGACAAAATTTCCGACAAAGTACACTTTTTGCACTTTGTGTAATTTTCAGCATAAGTAAGTGATTTGGCCAATGTTGTAACTAATCATGCAAACAAGACTACTTGCTATATCCTCTTGTTTTACGCTGCTTTCTGTAATGTCATCAGTCTGAATCGTAGCAATCTAATGAAGTTATGATATTACTATTTCAGGAAAAGCAAATTATGAAATATTTACCTTTCCAAAGCTTGTAGCTATAGTATCCTCTTGGAGGCTATCAATGTTAGAGTCATATAAATCTTTCACAATTGTATCAACAACAGTGTGATCTCCCTTTTTGCTAAAATCTTGTATTTTGTTGAAATCATTAATATGTAGAAGCAAGTTGGAGAGTCCCACTAATGTTCCTCCTCCAATCATTGATCCAGCAACTCTCTCATATGAATCTTGTGAATTTGCTTTGATGATAGAGACTCCTGACCCAATGGATACTAAAATTCTTGGATACATGTTAGATTCCTCTTGAAACTCTTTGCCTTCCTCCTCTGTATATGTAAAGCATGCGTCTTTGATATTATCCTGCAGGTATACCATTCCTTTCACTAAGCTCTCCATTTCGTCGTTCTTGATTACCTCAATGCCTAGCTCGTCCATGAAGAGGGAGGAATATTTATGAGCTCCACCCCCAGTTGCTTGGATAATAGATTTCTCATTGACAAGATTATAGTCTTTCAAAAACTGGATTCATTTCATGATCCCTCTCTCTTTATCACTTGGCTCTTTGTCCTTCCTGATATGGTTATTCCACAGTTTGAGGTAAATAACATTATCTTCTTCCCTCTGCTTGGCTAGTTTAATAAGTGCCTCTTGTTTCTTCTGAGAAGGAAGAGCTAACTTCTCTTCTTCATCAGACATACGCTCTACTTCTTCTTCAAGTTGGGGAATTTCTTGCTCTGCCATGACAGAGAGCTAGAGATGTTAGCCAATGAAAGATTCTAGGCTTACCTTGACGCAGCTTCCTCCCATATCCAGGCCAATTTTGATTTGCTTATCAGTTTCCATTTTTATAAAATTTACTATATTTTTTTGGGGTTTTGGGGTTTTGGGGTTTTGGGG